GGCCGGCTCCTGCCGCCGGCGCGCTGCGAGGAAGGAAAGGCCCGGCGTGCAGGTGACTCTGTCCGGCCGCGGCGCAGACGTGGGGGCTACAGGCGGTTGGGCGTGACCCCCTCGTCGCCCGGGCTACGGCTCCCAGCCCCAGCCCCAGCCCCGAGCCGCCGGACGGAGCGATGGGTCCACTAGGGCTCGGCGCGTGGGTTGAATGAGGACGTGGGCAAAGCACCCAGTACAAACGACTCAGCGGGTGCCACTCGCCGAGCCTCGCTCCTTACCTGTGTGAGTGACCTTCATCCTCAACACAGACCTCAGAGGGAGGTCTCCTTGTCCCCATTTACTACCGAGAAAACGGAGGTTCAGAGAGGTGAGGCGACTTGCCCAAGGTCACACAATAAGAAGGGACAGAATTCCTAGAAGGAAGCTGTGCACGAAGTGAGTTCTTCAAGGGTAGAGCCTAGCCCAAATGACCTCTACTCACAAGCGGGTCTTTTTTGGTTAGGAACTTTGGGTTGTCGGGTGGGGACGTACACTCCTTGCTCATGCTCCCAGAACACTTGGTGGTTTGTTACAGGCTCTTAGCTTGCAGGAGCTCGTTTGAGTCCTGCAGATGAGGAGGGACCTTGGTGGAATCTGTTGCGAAATGCACGGGGTAGCTTGTGTAGCATAGTGATTCGAACCCTGTGTCACCTTAAGGTTCTTAACTTCTCTTTGCCTCGATTCACTCTCTGTAAAGTGGGGTAATGCCTCATGAGGTTGCTGTAAAGATTAAGTGTTAATTCAGGTATTTATCCCTAGTTAGCTATCCTTAGTAGGGACAGGGGAACTTGGAATAATTGCCATTTCCATTATTCTGCCATCTTAGTTTGGAGCTCAAAAATTATTGCTCTTTTAAGTACTATAGCCATTTGCAGACAAATGAATGGAGACCCTGGAAGCTGAAGTTCTTTCCCAGCATTTCCCTCTGGGAGTCCCTCCACCATAAGGAATGAGGCCAAAGTCCATCTAACTGTAGTTTTCCCACCTTATCCCTGCACCTCACTCAGGCATTCAGTTCCTGTGAGAGGGAGTGAACAGAGACCCCACCTACCACCAGGGTTCTGGCCCAGTGGCCTGGGCACCTAATTGCACCAACCTCCTTGCTGGTTTCCTGGCCTCTGGGATTCCCCTTCTCGTACTCTCAACCCAGTGACCAGACCACACCCCTGCTGAAATTTCTTCAGTACTTTCCCAGTGCTGATAGATCAGCTCTACAATCCTGGTCTAGGCAGTGTGTCCATTATAATCCGGCGCTTGCCTCCTGTCCTCTGTCCTCACGCATTTTTTTTTTTTTCTTTTTTTGTCCTTTTTGAGACCGACCGCACCGCGCCCAGCCAGTGAGCGCTGTGAGCGCACCGGTTATCCCTATATAGGATCCAAACCCGCGGCGGGAGCGCTGCTGCACTCCCAGCACCGCACTCTCCCGAGTGCGCCACGGGCTCGGCCCTTTCCTCACGCATTTTTGACATGCTAGGGATACACAACACTGGACTACTGGAAATCCCCAGGATAAGCCAGGTCCTCTGTACCTCCTGACTGCACATGTTCTCTGCCATTTCTGGAACACTTTTCTTCCTTTCTTCTGTGCCCCAACACACACATACTCTCATACACTCATTCTCTCTCTCTCCCTCCTCCCTTCAAATTTTGTTCGCCTGGAAAATTCCTGCTCACCCTTCAAGTCTCAGTCCAAAGGAAGCCAGTGTCCTCAGCTGATTCCTTGCCTAGTGCTCCCTCCAGCTAACTCCTCGATCAGTACTCCCCACATCTGTCTTGTTGCTCAGTACTCCCCATGTCTGCTCCTTGTCCAGTGCTCGCTGCATCTGACTCCTTGCCTAGTGCTCCCTGCATCTGTACATTCTCCCACTAAAGGGGTGACCACACTGTCCTAACCAGTTACATGTCAGCGTCCTCACCTAACTGTGTTCCTTGTGGGCAGGGATGGACTTTTTTGTCTATATCTCAGAGGCCAATCCAGGGCCTTGGCCCACAGTACCACCTCAGTAAACATCAGTCAAATGAAAGAACCACAACTCACCCCAGCAGGGCAGAGATGGCACAGCCTCAGGGACTCAGGAGTGAGTTATGAATCTAGCAAAGACCAGAGCTACCAAACTTTGGGTTATCCAGTCTCAAACCATTACGCTATTGAGAATAAGGTAAGGCTCATGAAGGGCCACAATAGTCCAAAGCACACAAGTTAGGGACAGAGACAGAACCCAAGCCCAGGCTTTCTGGCACTTGACGATCAGCTAATTTCACTAGTTCGTCCTGAAAGATGTTTGAAGCTGCTCCAAGTGACTGTCCGGGAGGCCCTACTGGCAGTTGTATTCCTAGCTCCTGATTTTCCTCATTCCCAGATGAGAAAACAACTGCAGCCAAACTCACTAAGCCTCAGTTGCCACATCTGTCTAATGGGGAAAGTCTGTGGAGACTCAGAGGGCTACAGGATATGGGGGCGGGGGGGAGGGGAGCAGGGTTGAATTCAGCTCTGCACTGGCCCCCTGTGTGACCTGGAATAAGTGACTTTTCTTCTCTGAGCTTCTTTTCCTTGCCTGTGAGTTGACAATATGAATCTAATTGACCCTGGTGGTGAGGGTCATGGGCAGTCAGCATGCCACACGCTCAGCACGGAGTTGGGCATATAGTAGGTGCACAGTAATTGCTGGTTATCATCACTATCATTGTTATCCCAGAGTGCTTTTCTCCACTTCTCTCCCCCTTTTCTCTACCAAGGACTTACCTGCCCCCTCTTGCCAGACCTGCTGTGTGTTGGTGACCTTTGGTTAGTCTGATAAGGTAACTCCTGCCCAAGCTTGAAGGTACCACCCTACCCAGATAACCATGTTTGCCTGATCGCCCTCAGTGCCTTATCCCCTAGAGAGCAGCATAAAGGAAATTATGAAGTGAACGGGAAAGTTTGTGTTCGGACGACCTCCCTCCCACGTCTGTGCATCCTCCTCTCCCTGATTTCTCCCTGCAGCCCTGAGAGTCTCCATAGATTTTTCCCCAATAGACAGATGTGGCAACCAAGGCTCAGAGAGTTGGACTGCAACCCTTCTCTCATCTGGGAATGGGGAAAATCAGCTCATCTACGCCCCAGCTGTGTGACCTCCAGCAGATCAGCTCACTTCCCTGAGCCTCAGTCCCTTCATCCATAGAGGGACGTGCTCTCTCTAAGATGTGCAACCCAGTTATTGAGGCAGCCTGTCACTGAGAAAAGAGACCCCCTGAGCCAGCTGGTGGCCCCTGGAGATAGGTAGGCCCCTTCTCTCCCACCGTGAAGAGGGTGAGAGGGAGCCAGCCGCAGCTGCCTCCCCCCCTCTGCCCTTGAGAAAACCCTAACCTGAGGCCTGAGCGTTTCCAGTCCTCTCTGGGCAGGGATGGGTTATGTAACGACAGCTGTTGGTGAAACTGGCTCAGGCCTAAGGCTGAGACACACACAGCAATCCCAGAGCCCCTCGCAGGCCGCCCCCCAACCTGGCTCCCCTTGGCCCAGGGCTGGTGAGAAGTTGCTGATTGGAGGCTTTCAGCTGTTAAATTATTCAATCACCCTCACTCTGAAAACCGAAAACAGCCCCCATCCCTGCCCTGGAGATGGGAAAACCCACCCCTTGGTAGACAACAGGGGAGCCTAGGAGCTCTGCTTCCCCCTCTCCTTTCATGTGGGGGCTCCAATCCCTGCTTATCCCCCATTCTCTCTTCTTTACCTAAAGCCAGCCTCCTCTCTTCCCTCCCCCTCTCTATCCACCCTTGCCCCTCCAGCCCCCGCTGGAGCCAGCCTACCCTTTGCCACCTGAGGACCCCCAGAGACAGCAGGTACGGATTGAACAGCGTGGGCCGGTCCCCGGGCATCCGCCATGTGGTCACGAGTCGGCCCTTGAGTGGGCTCTCAGCCTTGCCCTCTGCTGGCCTCTTGTCTGCCTGTCAAACAGGGTCCAGTGTTGGCCCCAGGTCCCTTTGGTGGGATGGGGGCATCTCTGGCCACAGCCACCCCTGCCCATTCTGCCATGCCCATCGCAAAGACCCAGGGTTCCCAGCTTCCTCCCCTCCCAGAGCTGTCAGGAAAGAGTGTGTTAATGTGGCCACCTATGTTGTGTTTGACTGACAGGGCTCCTAGGGCTCAGCACCCTTGGGGATGTGTACCTCAGCACCCTAAAGTTCAACCACAGGCTGTCAGCAGGAGGGGAGGGTGGACCACAGATGAGTGTTCTGCCCACATAGTATTGGCAGATTATTTTGCACTAGCTTCCAATGTTAAACAGTCAAGAGATTTGATGTATAAATACCAACCACAGGCTGTCAGCAGGAGGGGAGGGTGGACCACAGATGAGTGTTCTGCCCACATAGTGTTGGCAGATTATTTTGCACTAGCTTCCAATGTTAAACAGTCAAGAGATTTGATGTATAAATACATATTTCCAGTCTCTTTTGAAATACCCAAAGATGTGGAAACTCTGGGCCCATCTTCCCCATGACAACACCATCTGGAGCCAAGGGGTCACACAAGTGCCCCCAGTCGTCACTCTTTCACCTTCATTAGCTGCCTGGCTTTCAGGGCGTTAGGTTTGTGACCCCAGCTTAAGTGAAACGAATGAGTCCCAGACTTCTACAGACACCTCTGGCAGAACTCCCAAATGCTCCTCCTTTGGAGTCATCCTTGTTGGGGAAACCAAGGCCCCAGTGAAGCACAGAGACTTGCCCTAAGTCACCTAGCAGGTTACTGGCAAAGATAGGACAGATCCCAGGTGGCCCAACTCTCCAGAATCCAGATTCTCTGGAAGCAGAACTTGAAGCATCAAAGCAGAGGTCCAGGAGGGCTTTGGGGGAAGGACTGCCCCCCACCCTGCTAACATCCCCCATCACAGCCCTGACCACATGGCATGGGACTGTCTCACTACACTGAGCTCCATACCATTGTGGAGCTCCAACTCCCCTCTGACCACACCCATGCACACAGAAGGGGCTCACTAAGTGTATGTGAGTGAATGAATGAGGTATCAATTCTGTCCAGTGGAGGCTGTCCAGGGGTGGGTCGAGAAGTTTTCCATGTTGCTGAGAGGGGCCCATTTCATGGGGACTAGAGGGTACCCCTGTATTGCTATTTCCTCTTTGTTCACAAACTCTGGCTCCAGGAAGTGTGAAGAAATAACCCAGAAAGAGGAAGAGTAAAGTTGTCAGAGCCTCCATGAGGGCTGGGAGCGCCTTTAGTGATCAGAGTCCCCTGTCCCCTCTGCATTTCACAGATGGAAAGACTGGCCCACCAAGCAGGTAGCACTGCTTGCTGTGGGAGACCGAGCAGGCAGTCAGGGCAGAGCCAGGAAGCAGTGTGGGCAGGGGTGGGGGTCCCGAGCCCTGGGTTCTCGTTTGCGTCCAGCCATTGACTGTGTGACCTGGGATGTCTCCCCTGCCTCTATCTCCTCATCGCAGAATCCCCTCAGCACTGACTAGGGCAGGGCTCCAGGCTGCCCGACAAATGCTCCCCTGTCACAGCTGGCTTTTCAGGAGGCGGCAAGAGGAATAGCAGGACGAGGGA